AGGGGCCCAGCTGCTATCTACAGCTCCAATCTGCTGCCTCTCTTTATCTCTGAGGGACCGCCCGGGTTCCCAGCAGCCTCCCCGCTGCTCACTTCCTGCCAGTGGCCCAGTATTACAGGAATAAGCACACGCAGCACACTGAACTAACCCAGCATGTGAGTGTGTGTGTGTGTGTGTGTGGGTGTGTGCACGTGCGCTCATACCCCACAGCCTGCACCAGCCTGGCCAGGTGCCAGGGAGTCAAAGGTACCCCAAGAGGAAGCTCTCCCCCAGAAATCCTGACGTGAGCCTCTGAGAATCCTCCCTCAAGTGGCTGGAGGGGGGGGGGCTGATCTTGTTCTCCAGATTGTCCTCAGAGACGGGACAGACCCTGTTCTCCGTGTGCACAGCCAGTGACCAAGATCAAGGGGCGCTGAACCAAGTGTCTCTCCCTCCCTGTCAGCCACTCAGCTGCCACCAGCATGACCTGACCTCAGGGACACACATATATGCAGGTTGCCCCAGGTGTCCCTCCCTCACCTGCCTCTCAGCTGTCATTCACCAAGTCCCAGAACTGGGCACCGGGCTAGGCACACAGGGCATGACACAAAAAGCCCCAGCCGGCCTTTTGGGTTTAGTGCATCAGCTGCACAGAGCAAGCGAGAGAAACATGCACCCGTGGCCGTGGACAGAGGGAAGAAAGGAATTGTGTGTACCCCAGAAAGAGGGCCCACTCCCTCCCTTGTTGAACTGAGCCAGGGGGCTTCCTGGTGGAAGAGTACTTCAGCTGAAACCCAGAGACTGAGGAGGTGGTGACCAGAGCCATGTGCTGATAGCTGGGTGGGGGAAGGGTCCCAGCAGAAAGGACACAGGCCTGAGACTGCAGGAGGAAGCACACTTGGGGACCAGAGGCTGCAGTGCTGGTGAGAAGCCCCAGAAAAAAAGCTACATCAAGAGTCTGGCTGGACGAGGGGTAGCTGGAGAGAGGGCTGTGTTGTTGATTACTGTGTTGCCAGTCTTGTGAGCACAGGGGCCTGAGTGCCGTCCCTTTATCTGTGTGAAAACTGTAATCACAGCCAGCATTTGAAATCCCCGCTCTGGGGAGGCAGACACGAGCATATTCCAAGGGCTGTCAGGCTAGCCAGCCTACCCTAGTCGGTGAATCTCAGGTCCGGGGGAGAGACTCTGTCTCAAAAATAAGGTGGACAGCACCAGAGGAAAGACATGTGAAGTTGACCTCTGACCTCCATGTGGACGTGCACACCCATGCAAGGATGCACCTGCACATGAACACCGAATAAAAGGTCCCACGAGGGCAGGCACTCAGGCCATTTTGCCCAGAGTACTGGCTGTGAGGAGAGGAGACTTGGTGACCTCTGCCATGGGGGACTCTTTAGTGTTAACTACTGCATACAGGCCACAGTTAGAGAGGACAAGGGATGGGGTCAGTCTGGGGACATGGGAAAAGTCAGAACCCGAAAGGAGCTGGCGTAGTAAGAGATTCCCTACCCCTCCCAGGGAGGGTGGCTGGTCCTCGGCTGTCCCCAGTGATGCAGTCTACAAATGATACAGTCGAAGAGTTAAAAGGCAGGAAAGGTCTGGAACATGACCAGTAACAGCAGGGAAACCTCCAACATGGCAGACAGGATCAGCAGGTAAAGGAAGTCGTTTTCTGGAGGTATAGGGCACATGCATGCTCCCTCTGTAGAACAGAGTGGCCAAACCCCCAGTGTAAAGCTAGGACAGTCGCCTAGCCCAGAACTGTTGTGTCCCATGTCCCGATCCAGCGGGATGCCAAACGGTGGGAGAACAAAGCTGCCAGCTTTTGTTTCAAGTCAAGGGGTTGAGGAAGAGGATGGCCATGTTGGAAATTTGCCACTTTTATTACCTAGTTATGATCCCCTCTTCCTGTCTGCCTGCCTACCAGGGGGCCTATGTACCTCCTGATCTCTCACCAGGACGACTCACACCTCAGGTACAGTGAGGGAAGCCTGCAAACGTGTACACACAGAGGTACACACAGAGATGCACACAGAGCCATGCATAATCATGCACATGCTAGCATACACAATCCACACACAATCCATTCAGAGACACACATACACACAACAGAGAGAGAGACACAGAGAGAGAGAGAGAGAGAGAGATTCCCAGCCTCCTCCAAACATGCCTGGTTGTACACATATCGGGGCACCAACCAGGAAGACCTGGCCATAGAAACTGTTTGCCTCTGTAAGGAGACAGACTTAGTTGGGAGAGACAAAAGCTAGTGGTCCAGCTATGTCCCCTGGGTGGGGTCCTCAAGCCTTGTGCCCTGTTTCTCCTCCCCATAGCTGCTTAACGATGGACAGGGAGCCCCCTTGGGACGGCCTTGCAGCCTCTGAGGGTTACAAGCAGGTGGCCTTTCTCTAGTTCTGCTGTCAAAGGGAGGTGGCTGCTCTTTTGTCCCCTCTCTCCCCTGAGAGCTCCTGTGACTGCTCCCAGCCCATCCACCCCCCTTCCCACGGAGTCTTCGCTCCCGCCCCCCACTTCCCAGCAGAAGGGCTGGAGCCAGACAATGAGATAAGGGCTTGTTTTCTATGGGCTGGAATTCGGGAATTAGGCAGAGCTTGTGGGTCAGGGCCAGAGCACCCCGCTGTGGGGAGGCAGGGAGCCTTTCTACTAGGTGCAAGTCCCTGGGGCCCCAGGCCTACAGGGACTTGATCTCTGCACCCTTTTAGGATGGCTCTGCTACGAGTTGGGGAGAGGGGAAGAGTCCCTTAGAGTTGGCTCTGTCCCTGCAGGTGGCCTCTGAGCCTCATGGCCACTCCTCCTCACTCCTCCAGCCCCCGGACTTCCAACAGGGTCTGCCCCCGTTACCGTGGCCCATATTGCCCCTTCCCTGTCACCCTCCCCTACTCCATCACCTGCTTAGTACACTTCCCTGTCTTCAAAGACTATTGCTTCCTCCAGGAAGCCTGCCTAGCTGCAGACCCAGCAGGAGGATGACGAAGTGACAGAGAGGGGGCAGGGTCAGCATCTGAGACAGGCTGAAATCCCTGAGGCCCTCTCAGACCAGCTTGCTCTCAACGCACCACAGACAGACAACAAGCAGGGTTGAGTTCCCAACCTCCCTGTATGAGGGGGTCACCCTTTGGTCCTGGTGAGTCAGTGTAGTCCGCAATAGAAGCACCGAGCTCCGAGCTCTGGGGTCTTGCAGCTCCAACATTAGGGTAAAGAGCAGAGTCTCCATGAGCCAGGCACAGGGTCAGTACAGCCTCCCAGCTGCCCTTCCTGGGTAAACTGACACACAGCTGGGAGTGGAGTGGGGGAATCTTCTTTTCCTTGCGATTGTTTTCTTTTTCGGAGACAGAGTCTCTGAGTCCAGTGTAGGCTGGCCTGGAACTCTCAACCATCCTCCTGCCTCAGCCTCCCACAGGACTGGGATTACAGGCATGAGCCACCACATCTACCTTTTGCAGTGCTGGGAATCAACCCAAGGGTCTTGCTGGTAGGTGGCTCTGTCACAGCGTTCTTGGGCATGACTTCCATGGAAGCGATGGTGTAGGAAGGAGGGGGATTCCTAGATACCTCTGTGGCTGTTTCCCATAATGCCCTGGGAGATTGCACAGCCAGCTCCAGGTGAAGACAATCCTTGTGTCCCGTGCCTGGAATCTAGCTAGTGCTCGGTAAAACCATACTGAAGGCTGATCATGGTGGTTTATTCCTGTAATCCCAGCCCTTGGGGACTGTGCAGAATGAGATCTACACGTGAGAAGAAACAAGCTACCTTAACACAGGCACTAGAGAGACGGCTCAACACTAAAACACGCATACCACTCTTGCACAGAGCCTGAGTTTGGGTACCAGCACCCACACCTGTAACTCCAGCTCTAGGGTGTCCAAAGCCCTCTTCTGGACCCAATGGGTGACTTCATGTGTACACACAATTTTAAAGGTTTTAAATTAATTTTATCAAGTCGGGCGGTGGTGGCGCACGCCTTTAATCCCAGCACTCGGGAGGCAGAGGCAGGCGGATCTCTGTGAGTTCGAGACCAGCCTGGTCTACAAGAGCTAGTTCCAGGACAGGCTCCAAAACCACAGAGAAACCCTGTCTCAAAAAACAAAAAACAAAAAAAAAAATCATTTTATCAAAAAGGAGAGCGAGAGGGAAAGAGAGCTGGGTAAGTACCGCATTTGGTAGAGTGTTTGCCTAGTATGCACCAAGTCCTAATTCAGTTCCCAACACAGCATAATCTGGGCATGGCGCCACACACCCGTCACCCCAGCCGGTCAATCAGAAGTTCAAGGTCACCTAGGTTACACAGTGAGTTCAGAATGAGCCTGGGATACATGAGACCCCGTTTCAGAAGGGAAGAATTAAATACTCCAACGGTGGAAAGCTACTCTTTAGGGTCAACACGGTACCATATGTGATTCCTGGACGTCAGGGACCCCCAGCAGCGCCTGCAGTCTGTTTCCTCTGGTGTGAAACAAGGGCCCTGAGGGGCTGGAGAGATGGCTCGGTGGTGTTCCAGGCTAGTTAGTGGCAAGGATGCTTAACTAAGTTAAGTCTGCAGTGTCGGGAGCAGGGCCAGGTACACGCTGAAAGGCACTGCATAAAAGATTACCCTTGGCCAGCAGAGGTGGTGCATGCCTTTAACCCCAGCACTCGGGAGGCAGAGGCAGGTGGATCTCTGTGAGTTCAAGGCCATCCTGGTCTACGAGAGCTAGTTCCAGGACAGGCTCCAAACCTCTTTCCAAAGAGAAACCCTATCTCGAAAAACCAGGAAAAAAAAAAAAAAAAAAAAAAAAAAAAAAAAAAAAAAAAAAAAAAAAAAAAAAAAAAAAAAAAAAAAAAAAAAAAAAAAGATTACCCCTTCAGCAAAGCTCCCAAATTCTCAGGCTGCACGGCGAACCCGAACTACAATCCCCAGCATGCTGCAGGAGTCAATGTTTAGCGTTGCAGAGAGGACTCCAACTCCCAGAGTGCCCCCGGCCTACGCAGCTCCTGTCTGCACGGGGTCAAAGTAGCCCAGCCTCTCGGATCCCCCGCACTCCCGGAAGAGAATGTCCACCGCTCCTGCGGGAGAGGAAGGCGAGTTTTGCAGCCATGCTCCGCAGAGTGGCCCGGACCGTGGTCCCAGGGCTCAAGGTGCCCTGGGCGCGGTGGTCTAGGAACTGGGCGGGGGTCCCAGACCAGGTGGTAGACCTGCGCAGCGACACGGTGACCCGGCCAGGGCCGGCCATGAGGCGCGCCATGGCCGAGGCGGTCGTGGGAGACGACGATTACGGCGAAGACCCTACGGTCCTCGGTGAGCCGGGCGAAGAAGCCCCGGGCAGGGGTCGTTGAGGTGACCCCGGGGGCGCTGTCCGCGGTGCTGAAGGGAGGACAGCGTGGACGCAGAGCTGTGCCTGGTGGCATTTGAGGATGCACCTATGCACCCTGCGCCCCTGCTCGTTTTCTGGGAGAGCCTTGGTAATGCAGATTCTTGGGCTCCACGTTGGACTCGGGGAGCCAGAATCTGCATTTTAACAGGGCCACCGATGGCTTCTGTCCACTGTCACCCAACTCCCCAGATGGGTGTTGTCCAATCTGGCAAAGAAAGGCCCTAAGGTGGCCAGAGAGGAGCTCAAGAACCCACGTCAGGAACAGGGAAGAACCAGGGTTTGAGGCAGGCCTGACTGATGGAATTACTCTCTTTCATTCACTGACTGACTTCACCAAGACAAAACCAAATGGGGGGGGGGTGTTCTGGGCTTGCTGCACCTTCCCAGGGGCAAAGTTTCATAGCCTAGGGAGTGCTTTAGGGAGACAGCAAACCAAAGCCCACCCGGGGTCGGTAGGCACTGTTAAAGTGACCTCTAGTGTTGCTGGGGTGTGTGGGTCCAGACATAAACCGCAGATCACCGCTTTGATCCCCGGAGGCCTGTTCGTGGGCCCAGGCATTATTGTGGCTGTTACCAGGAACTTCAAAGATGTTGAGCTTCTCCGCTCAGCCCACACCTGGGGTGTAAACAGGTCCCCACATCAAGGCTGGGGAGGTGCTAGCCTTGGGAGTCTGGGCCGACGGATGTCTTTTGAACCCCAGGGGGGCTGGGGCTGGGAGGAGGAGAGTGGCAGCATTCAGGGTGCAGGGAGACACCTGTGTCTTCTGGGGACACGATCTAGATTGGGAAGCCACCACAGACTTTAGACAGGCCTTGCGCTCACCCACCAGATGCACCCTTTATGCCCTGCCAGTTCCCCAGAGACTCCTCCATGGTACTGTGCAGAGGAAGTCTGCAGGGAAACCGCAGGGCCTCACCTGCTGGGGCTGATGGGAAAAGAAGAAAAACAGGTGTGAGGTGGGGTGGGAAAGGAGGCCCAAACCACAAGGGAGTTTCGGTGGCCTGGGGCAGGGCACTGCGGCCCAGGAGGAGGTAGCAGGCAGAGGATTGACAGAGGGCCGGCCCTCTCTGGACATGGCACGTGGTTACCTGACCACAGACTACACAGATGGTGGATGGGCTCCAAGCCCTGCCCCTCAGACCCCAGGCTCTCATCTGAGCAAATTCACTTTTTTTGGAGGGAGTGCTTACAAGGTCTTGCTGTGCAGCTCAGGCTGCCTTCAAGCCGCCGTCCTACTTCAACAGAGTGCTCGAGTGACGGGGTACGCCATCACACCCAGTATCGAGTGCACATTGAACTGGACTAGGGCGCAGCAGCTCTGAGCAATTGTTGATAGGCATTCTGGCCCCGCCCTCCCTTCTCGCTTCTCAGAACTGCAGGAGAAGGCTGCAAAGCTGCTTGGGGTGGAGCAGACCCTGTTTGTGCCAACCAACACCATGGCCAACCTCATCTCTGGTGAGTGTCTGCCCACCCTCGGAGCTGGGGTCTGCAGCTCTCTGGTGGACACGTCCCTGGGTTTCTTTTGGGTGCAGCCAGTGGAGCACCCGGGCAGAAGGCAATGGGAGGAGTAAGGTCTGTAAGTCTTTGCTGGTGCCCAGAGCTGCCCGTTCCGGGGCCAGCACCCCGGTGCTCTCCCCTGCTGGAAGTGTCCTGCAGTGGGCCACAGCGCTCTGATGCAGTGTTAGCGCGCAGCATTCACGGCGAAGCCCCGCCAGAGTTGTGTGGCACCCCAACCTTTTTAGCACACGCAGGGAAGCGTCTGGAAGGGTGCTGCTTCCTGACAGTCTGAGCTCACTGGGCTCCAGGCTCAGCCTGGCCACACTGAGCAGGGGCAGTGGGACCCTCTTGGACCCAGTTCCAAGTCCTGCCCTCCTCCCATCTATCTCAGTGATGGGTCACTGCCGGCGCCGGGGTTCCCAGGTCCTCCTTGGGCAGGAATGCCACCTCCACATCTATGAGCAGGGCGGGGTGGCTCAGGTAAGGACCAGGCACCACTCCCCTGGGACTTTGGACATCCTCCCGCCAGTCAGGATGCCAGGGTAGGAACCTGCTTCCCAGGCATCAGGCAGAGAAGAGAAAGGAAAGGCACAGGGAAGCAATCAAGGGAGATGGGAGGGAGGGCCTGGGCCCAGATTTGCTCATCTGCCTCGGTGCCTTACTGCCCCCTAGTGGGCAGATGGAGCACTAGCACTCCAGAAAGAAGCTTTTGCACTTTTCTAAGCAGCAAAGGGCCGGCAGCCTCCCCAGCTAGGACGCTGTGTGCTCAGAACAAAGACTCTGGGGCCCAGAGGTGGCCCCTGCCGCAGAGGAAACTTCCTGTCTGGAGGTACCACTCGACCCATATGATCCAGTGTCCTCTCCTGCCTGCAGATCGCCGGGGTGCATTCCCAGCCCCTCCCAGACATGCCCCATGGCACCTTGGACCTGAACGAGCTGGAGAGGGCACTCTCTCGGGGTTTCAGGAACTCCTACCATCCTGTCTGTGAGCTTGTGTGTCTGGAGAACACACACAGCAGCGCAGGGGGCCGGGTCCTTCCCATCCACTACCTCCGCCAGGTAGGCTCCTGCCCAGCTGGGCCCCAGTGCCAGGGCACTCTTGACTTCCTGTGCCCTTTGAACTGTCCCTGTCCCTAGGGACGAATCCCCTCTGACACATGCTATGGGTGCCCATCAGGGACCCGACTGTCATAGGTCCTAGGTTGAAAATGGCCAGGATTTATTACTCTGGCTTCAGGATCCTGTTCTACCTGGAGATAAAAAAGTCCACATGGGTGGCATATGGTGACTCCTCAGGTCCCAAATACACAGAGCCACCAGGCTTCTGACTCTAGACCCCTTGTGGTTCCTCAAGAGCTCTGGGGAGAATGAGAGATGACTCAGTGGTTAAGAACGGTTGCTGCTCTTCCAGAGGACCTGAGCTTGGCTAGATCAAAACACCTGTAACTCCAGCTAGAGGGCACCTATACCCTCTTTTAGCCTCCATAGGCATACCACCGCACATGGCGTATACCCACATACATACACCTAAAATAAAAATAAATCTTAAGGCGGCTGGAGAGAGGGCTCAGTGGTTAAAAGCACTGGCTGCTCTTGCAGAGGACCTGAATTTGATTCCCAGCGCCCACATCAGACAGCTCACAACCGTCTGAAACTCCAGTTCCTGGGACTTCAGTGCCTCCGATTTCCACAGGAGTTTGCAATCATGCAAATATCCACGTGAAGAAGCATCCTAGACTAATTCACAATAGGAATAATAATTTAAAAAAAATCTTTAAAATAGGATGCCAAGCCCAGATGCCCTCCCTACCTGGCCCCTCTGACCTTTGCTCCCAGGTGCGCCTCCTGGCCCACGCCTACGGAGCACGGGTCCACCTGGATGGGGCGCGGCTGATGAATGCAGCTGTGGCTCTGCGTGTGCCTCCCGCCCACCTCGTGGAGCACTGTGACTCCGTATCCTTCTGCTTCTCTAAGGTAGGCAGACCTTCCCGAGGCAGATGGGGTGTGGGTACCCTACTGAGGATACAACTGGACCCCTGAGCCTAACAGACCCGCTGGCCCTGGGTTGCGCAGCCCCCACCTTCCCCACCTCCAGGACGGGCTCCAGGTTCTCTCCTCTCTTCCCTTAGGGTCTTGGTGCACCAGTCGGGGCGCTGGTCGGTGGAGCCAAAGGCTTCATTGAGGAAGCCTGGCGCCTCCGCAAAGCCCTGGGTGGAGGCATGCGCCAGGCTGGAGTACTGGCTGCGGCTGCCATGGTGGGACTGGCTGAGGCAGAGGAGGTGCTGCCAAGAGATCATGAGAATGCCCGGAGATTCGCTAAAGGTGCCTGGACCAGTCCCCGCCCCACTCCCCTTCGCTCCCTACCGTCTGGGCCTAGATGTACCGAGCAGCAGAGCTAGGCCCCAGCAGATCTGCACCCCAAAGCCTCTATTGAGCTTCTAGGATGGGCCCTGGGCCCTCCTGCCTCACCAGGCCCTACTCCATGGGCACTCTCGGGCACTCACACAGGGATGCAGCCAGCTGAGTCAAGAACTACGACAGACCGGAGCCTCCAATATGGGTCTTCCGTGCATTTTTTAAAAATTTCAAAACAATCCTATGATGTCCCCACATCTGAGACCCAGAGAAGTGGAAAAGCAGGATCCAACTCATGTTCTCAAATGCCACATTAGCACTCAGGCTCTGTTTCCCCACAAGATAATTAATCGGGCTGCTCTCCTGCCTTCCCTGAGGGGCGGTTCCGGCGGCGGCCGAGGTTGGGCCCCGGGTTCGGGTACTCACCGCTGTGTCTGGCTCCAGGACTCCGGGACCTGGCATCACCCATTTGCTCCGTGGATCCCGACACTGTGGAGACCAACATGGTGCTGGTGCAGGTGGCGGGGCGGCCTCCTGCAGAACTGTGCCAGCGCCTACAGGCTGTGAGCGCCGAGGAGGTGGCTCAGACTGGCCGCGCTGTGAGCGTGCTGCTCTTTCCCTGGACAGAACACTCCGTGCGGGCCGTGTGGCACCGGGATGTGTCTGCTCAGGACACGGAACTGGCGCTGAGGAAATGGGAATTTGTGCTGAGGCAGTTGAGGCCCTGAGATCAGGGGACCAGGAGCCCTGTGCCCTGGCTAGGATTGAAGTGTAGAGTAAGCTGGTCCAAGCCATTAGCCTAGTGGAGGCCCGCCCTTCTGGGGGATGACGACACCATTCCGGCCTCTGAATTCCTCCACTGACACTCATGTGATGGCCTCATTCAATCAGGAACAACCAGGCACGGGCTGGGATAAGAAGGGGCTGAATATCAAGAGAAGGGAATGAATTCAGGAAGCAGACCTGGGGCTGGGACGTGCAGCGTGACTGCCTGGTGTGTGTAAGCCCCGGGTCTAGTCCCAGCACTGTATAAACAGGTGTGTTGACTCACACCTGTAATCTTAGCAAGCTGAGAAATTAGAAGTTCAAGGTTGGGCTGGAGAGATGGCTCAGGGGTTGAGAGCACTGGCTGCTCTTCCAGAGTTCGATTCCCAGCAACCACATGGTGGCTCACCACCATTTGTAATGAGATCTGGTGCCCTCTTCTGGCCTGCAGCCATACATGCAGGCAGAGCACTGTATAGATAATAAATATTTTTTTTTAAAAAGTTCAGTCATTCTCAGATACAGAGTTTGATTCAACCCTGGGCTACATGAGACCCTATCTGCAAACAAACAGATCCTGTGTGACTGGCATAGTTATTAGAGATGGACTGTAAAATAATAATGTGGGATTTCCTTCTGTGTGCTGTGATTACCATTAATGAATAAACTGCTTTGGGCCTGTTGATAGAGCAGAACTTAGATAGGCGGGGAAAACTAAATGGAATGCTGGGAGGAAGAAGGCGGAGTCAGGGAGCCGCCATGGAGCAGCCAGAGTCAGACATGCCAAAACTGCTGATAAGCCACTGCCACGTGGTGATACACAGATTAATAGAAATGGGTTAAATGAAGAGGTAAGAGTTAGCCAGTAAGAAGCTAGAGCTAATGGGCCAAGCAGTGTTATAATTAATATAGTTTCTGTGTGGTTATTTTGGTTCTGGGCAGCCAGGATGAACAAGTGACCCTTCCCCCAATAAAGTATTGAAGGAGCTGTATTTGTACTTTTATGTCCCAGCTAAATACATAACAGAAGCATCAGGTTCAATTCCCAGCACCCACACAGTGGCTCACAACCATCTCTAATTCCAGTACCAGGGGATCTGACACCCTCTTCTGGCCCCCACTGGCACTAGGCATGCATATAATGCATAGACATATATGCAGACAAAACACTCATATACATAAAAAATAATTTCAGTATTGGAGCTGGAGAGATGGTTTAGCAGTTAAGGGCACTGGCTGCTCTTTTAGAGACTCTGGGTTAGATTCCCAGCACCCACATGGCTGCTCACAACCATAACTCCAGTTCCAGGTAGAGGCAGCTAAGAAGCTGCCATTGTGTGCAGGACAATGGAGGCACAGGTGGGGACATTAGCATGGTGGACAGTTTGGGCTGCAGAGAAGCTGCCATGGTGTGCAAGACAATCAGAGGTGCAGGCAGGGACATCAGCATGGTGGACAGTTTGGGCAGCAGCAAGTACACTGGAAAAGAGGAGGAGCCTGCAGCAGAGGACTGTCTGTCTCTCTCCTCACCCCTCAGAAGACTCCAGATATCTCTGGGCCTGGTGTTGGGGGTCCCCAAGGCCCCAGAGCTTGTCTCCTGAGGTGCTGGTATAGCACGAAGCCCGCGCCTTCTTTATTCTCCCATACGCCTTCAGGGACAGGCAATATCTTTATTCTCCCATACGCCTTCAGGGACAGGCAATATGCCCTAATCCACTGCTGGACAAGAACTTCCCCAGACAAGCTAGTACCTTAAACCAGCAGGAATCCCTCACTAGTTCTCAGAGTTTCTGAGATTAGGGACTGGAGGGTTAGTTTAAGCTCTGTTTGCCCTTCCCAATCATTGAATGCTCTATGTGGCTGGTCGATACCCCTGCCTTATACCCGTCTGCCTGGGCAAGCCTCTTCTCACCCAGCCTCACTGTGGTCGGCTCCCCTGGCACCAGCGACTGAGAGACTGAGGCAGGACCTGCCAGGTGTCGTCTGCTTCTCCCCGTGTGCCCCCAGGAGTGAGGGGAAAGCCCATCTCCCAACCATCTGGAGGCTGCTGCTATAATGTGTGGACGCTGGCTGGGGTGAGGCCTGCATCCAGGAGACACTGAATCCTTATGGTTCAAGCTATGGAGGCATCAGAGGAGAGATGGTCAGAGGCAGCCATGGCATGGCAGAGGGAAGGGCAGAGGAGAACATTTGCAGGCAGGGTAGTGAGCCCTGTGCTGCCATGGGGCTTCCTAGCTGGCCCACATTTGGCAGCAGGAACTGAGGCGCACTCACACGGAAGGGTGAGTCCGCTGTCTGGGGGGCTTGGCTGGCTCTTGTCTGTGTGGGCAAGCTCCCCACTTGTCTCTCTTCTCTCCATGTAAGACACATGGTACCCCTGGTGCCTGCTGTCTGCTCGCATTAGCTCTGAGCTGCTAACGCCTCCCCGGGCAGCACAGTCGAGCTGCCCAGTGAACTGTGAAACAGGACACAAACCGTTGGGCCAGTTACTAAGGAGACTGCCCCGTCAGAGCAAAGGCCTCGGCTAGCTTCAGTAAGTCCATGCCCACGTACACAGGCACATCCCCTCAGGCAATTGTGGAGGTCTTTGCAGCCACGGTGTGGGTCTTCGCCAGTGTCACCTGGGACCCTAAAGCCACCACACCAGTGGGGCTAGACTTCAAAGCTAGCTTCCAGCAGGCAGACAAAGCCCGACAAGGAGAGGCGGTAACTTTGCTCTAGCTCCCCGTGAGCCAGCCCACACCCTGCTAGGAAGGAGGCAGTTACAGCTGCAGGACATAGCAGCCTGCACACACACACACACACACACACACACACGCGCGCGCAGGATGTCTGTGACAGGCATGCACACACGCATGTAGGGCACATTACTGATGGCCAGAAACATGCACACTGGTGTGTGTTCTCCCTTCTACACAATGAGGAATGAGTGTCTGTTACCTATTTTGAAGAATCCTAGGCTGGCCCTGGTGATGCATACCAGAAACTCAGGACCAGAGAGGCTGCGACAGGAGGCATGGAGTTCAGGCCTACATAGTAAGGTTTTGTCCCTGTGCCCCTCCCCCCAATAATACACATTGCAGCTGGTTTATTCAGCCACTTGGCAGTGCTCTTACATGGAATGGCAAAAACCAGAACACAAACTGGGAGGGGGGTTGTCATCAGCCCCAGTCCTCTGCCCTCAATGGTCACATTAAACCCTGCAAAGGACTCCCCTGCTCCCTGCAAGCTTCCCACATCTGTAGAAGCAATCAGTGGCTTGGGGACACTGCTGAGACCAAGCCTTGAGAAGCACTCCCTTCCTTAATACACATCCCAGACTCAGGAAGAGCTGCACCAGGATCAGGGCTGTTTGGGGCTTTCGGGTACTGCGCAGCCCCTAACCTACAGCTATCCACCGTCCAGTAAATAAACACAAGTCTACCCCCTCTTACGTGGCCAGAGGTGATTCAGCTCCCACCTCTGTTGTCTCAGTCAGGGAGTGGGCTGCAGGGGCCTGTGAGCTGACCCATCCAGCTGCAGCCAAATCTCCAGGCCGAGCTTCTGCCTCCAGAAGTTCCTCTATGCAGGCAACCCAGGGACAAGCCAGGCATGGCCCCAGCTCACCCAGCTGTGGCCAGTCTCAGACACGCTCCTGGCTGGTGCTGTAAAGAGGAAGTTCCAGGGCAGCAGGGCAGCTCCCCCCCCCCCATCAGAACTGAGACTTGGACGTCCACCCTGCCTGGAAGCACTCGTAAGTGACCCACTTGGTGGCTGGACAACGTACCTAGACTATACCCTCCCACCCAGCCCTAAGCCTCCTCCCCATCAGCCTCCCCTTGGGAGAGGGAACAAAGCAGAATCCAAGGGGTCCAGCCAAACTGCAGTGTCACTGGGATCTGCCGTCTGTTCTTGGGTTTTCTGGCCTCAGTTTCCCACTCTGACGGAAGATGAGTGATTACCGTGTTTCAGTCTGGGGGGTGTGGCAGTATGGAAGCCCTCGGCCAGCTCCTGACAGAATAGGTCTGTGTCTCAGCTCCCAAGGGCTGGAATGGGCTACACCCCTCAGAGCAAGAGTACCCCCTGGACACCCAGAACCCTGAGGCACCCCACCAGGGCAGTGCCATCGAGAGCTCATGACTTGAGACATGGCTCTCCTGCCCCCCTCCTGTCCAGCTGGAGTGAAGGTGGGTAGTTCCCCAACACGCCATCCCCCAGGGTACCTTCCCCTGCTAGGATTCCAGCAAATGCCAAGGGTGCCTGAGCCTTTCTGCTCCCCACCACCCCGCCACACTGGAACTCAGATGACCACAGATTGGGGCGTTCCTGGGCGTTGGCGTTGGCGCAGGCTGAGGAACCGGGCAGCTATGAGCAAGAGCGCACCGCTGAGCCCCAGGCCAGGGCCAGCGACCAGCCGAAGCTGATGTGCACGCCCTGGACGTGCTGCGTGCCATACACGCGGGCCGTCTCCACGAACGCCAGGTGTGAGTAGTTGATGTAGATGCTGACTCCTGCCAGAGTCAGGGCACCTGGGGAGAGAGGTCCAGCAAGACTGCTCAGTGCGGCACCGGTAGACCCAACATTAGCTTTCCACTACCCCCTTCAACCACCACTCTGTTTATAGGAGTTCCCATCCAGCCCTCCATCCTGATACCTCACCCGACAAACCCCCTTGTAAACAGTCCCAGGACTCAGTTATGCCAGAAAAGGCACAGCTCTGTGGCCCACACTATCTGGCCTCGGTTTACCCTAGTGTCGGGATGTGGCAGGAGTGGGTGGATTTCCGACTGCCTGCAGCCAAAGCCACGGGTTTAATCTGGGGAAGGCTGAATTTAGTGTGTTGCAGTCTGTGAGAGGCAGGGATGGGGGCAGGGGAGTGGACTGGCCCCACTCTCCGGCTTCCCCAGGCGCCAACACAGGTGTTGCCCATCTCACCTGCAGCACCCAGCTCCCTGGAATGGCGACCTGTCTCCCAGCCTGACCCCTCTTACAGCCTGTCTCCCAGTGGGTCCCTGAAGCCTTGGCTGAAAGCTACAGATCCCTCTACCTCCGCTCCCACATCCGGACTCAGGGGACCCCAACACCCTCCTCTCCTGTCCCTGAGGGCTAAGTACACTCTGCTCAGGAAAGGTGTGGTCAGCCTCCCCTAGAAGCTGCCGTCTGACTTTTTTTTATATTTATTTATTTATTTATTATGTGTACAATATTCTGTGTGTATGCCTGCAGGCCAGAAGAGAGCACCAGACCCCATTACAGATGGTTGTGAGCCACCATGTGGTTGCTGGGAATTGAACTCAGGACCTTTGGAAGAGCAGGCAATGCTCTTAACCTCTGAGCCATCTCTCCAGCCCCTGGCTTCTGACTTTCTGCCTCTATCCGCGTCTTCAAGGAAAATGCAGAGGCTTCCCCATGTCAGCATGGAGTTTCCCAGTTAGATTTCCCAATCCCATTACTGTTGCCAGTGGCTTCCTGGGTCTTGTTAATTGGATTTTGCACTCAGTCTCCTGGGTCAAGGCTGTTGCAGATATTTTGATTACCCTGATTTTGTTCTCTAGAGACCTGGGTCTGAACATTTGCCTGTCTCATTAGTTTGTGGCTTCGGGTTCCCCATGTCAGGCCCAATCCACTCTTAACAAAGGTCTCCTGAAGAGCCCAGTGTCCCCTGGAGGGAAGCTGGCTTGTCTGGGAGATCTCACCATTGTAGTCACAGCCACGACATTACGATAGACCAGCACAGGCCTGAGCCCAGCAATAGAGGCTGCTGCAGATGGACCCCTACGGGGCCACCTGCTCACTTTGGTGACAGCTAGCCTAGGGTTGCTGTAGCAAACCTATACCAAGAAGCACTCAAGGGGACCTTCCGGCTCTGGAAGCCTTGGGGGTCTAACCTGCTGAAGTGGCCCTCAGGAGCCACCAGGGAGCTCTTGGCCTGATGTTAGTTATAGCCTGGGACTAGAAGAGTCAGAGCCAAGGATGATACGCCCCTGCTCACCTTGCTCTACTTTCACCCTCACCTAGTAGGAGAG